TTTGCATTTTAATCACTTTTGAAAATCTTTCTAGTGTTGACATTCGATATATTTTTAAAATAATGCAAAATTTAAATGAGAACTACTACTTTTTAGTTTCTAGGATCCTTATAGACGGGGATTGCCAGGACATCAAAGAAAGGCAGGATTGACTAATACTTGTACCTTCACAAAATTAGCTTACAATGTTGTGGAAGGAATTTGAAGTGTAATTGATACTGGTAGGCTAGATTCTGCAGCAGTTGTTCAGTTTGCATATTACCTTCCTCTGTGGCACCACCAGTGGCATAAAGCACAATTCTGCATTCCTCAGGATACTGCAAAATGGCTCTGCCATGCACATTCCTCTCCCCTCGTATTCTTTGGGTACATGGATATGTATTTTGGCTGAAGAAGCATGGTATGAAAGCGATAAACTTGCATTCATTCCCTGAACAGATATTGGAGACTGTACTCAGGATGCATCTTCTAGAGGACTTCTCTTTCTTTAAAAAATGCTTCATCCTGTAGAAAATTGATTTTCTTAGTTTTTTGAAAACAATAAGTTTCAGCAGTTACGTATCAAGTACTTATTACCTGATACTGTGAAGTGTGTGTACCAGTCATGTTTAAACATTTTATTTTATTCTCTTGGCAGTCTTAAAATTGATTCTTTTAGAAGTTTGCGAAAACCAGAGAGAAGCATGAGCGATGACAAAGAAAACCAAAGGTACTGTAAAACCAAAAAAATCATTTAACAGTCATGAAAGTAATTGTTTTTTCTGACATTCATACATTCTTTCTCCCCATTTTTCAAAATGGCTGTGAGCTAAGTCTTTCCTGCAAGCGGGTAGTAACTAAAAAGGTGCTATATGACTTATTAGAGAAAGATGATGTTGGAGTGTATTAGCTTTACACTGCTGTAGTAAAGCTATACATAGCAAAATCTGGCTCTGGTGATGTAGAACCAGTTTATACCAGTTTATATGAATATGTCTTAATATGTGAGTGTATGGATGTAAAGGTTGCAACTTACACTTGGAATCAGACTTTTTTACCTTGTTGCAAACCTCTTGAGTGTTTCTGTTTATCCATTGCTCAGATATCTGAGTATTTCCTCGATCTTGAAATCTCATCAGAGTTTGTATTCTTTTGCATCCTTACCATCATAATTCTTTAAAATTCTTATATTTAAAGATATTCCATATCAATGGCAATCAGGATGATAAACAGAGGCTTATGTACAGAGGAGAGATGGTACTTAGGGGTTGCCAGTTATGTGGCATTGTAATAGTAGCATGGTTATATGTGCTTCATAAGCACTGCTGTTACCGAGCAATACTGAAGGTATTGGCCTTGGTAACAGTTTCACATGAATTAATTGATTTGCCTTGCTCCAAGTGGTTAAGTCAAAAACTTAAGGAAGGCAGAAACCATTTATTTTATTAGTTATTAAAGCTGCATGTAATCAAAGAGGAACCAGACTTTCAGGTTTGCCAGTTCTTATATTTATACATAGATATTTTTCTTTTTTTTTTTTTTTTTTTTGGTAGTATCGTTGGTATTTAGGTATTCATAGCCCCTTCCACCTGGAGTATCTTGATCTTCATAATCAAACATATACTTTTGAAGATAATTATTTGTAGCTTAACCTTTGGTAGTGGGACTATGCTGCAGAATTATGGGGCTAGTGGGGCTATGCTGCATTTTAGCTTTCACAGCAGTTGCTGCAGATTTTAAAATGCCTCAAAAGGTTAATTAAATAAAATGTTATACTTCAGATATTGGCAGGAAAGAACTTTAAAAAGATCAAATTTTGGCACTGTTCAGGTTTTTCCACAACAGTTTTATGCTCATTCTGCCAAGGCAGTGTTAATTGTGAATCTGTATTCTAACCAGCCCAGGCACAGTCCCATGCACAGGACCCCCCCTGAGGAGATCAGTCTTTCCAGGAGCTGGCGGAATCCACGTAGGATGAGGTGTGTAAAGCCATGGCTACATCAGGGCTGTGTTTGCTTGATCTTGGCTCCTAACCTCTGGGGTCTGTTCCAGAAGGCACTTTGGTAGTTTTGTTAGTGTAATGTCTCTGGAGCAGTGCTGCTTGGATCTGGGAAGGTCAGAACTAAGTGGAACACTTCTGTGATTAGGATGGAGAGGTTTTGTGCCAGAATTTGGCTCTTTGTTCATTAAGATTTTTTTTTTTAAGGTGGGGGGAGAAAAATAATGTCCATTATATAAAGCATTGCCACTCATGAGCATTACCTTTTTTAAGATTTTATTCAGGTGACTCAGAGCATAGAGGATTACAGATTTCTGGGGCTTCTAATAATCCAAGTAAAATTGTTGCTGAACTCTTCAAAGAAGCAAAAGAACATGGGGCTGTCCCATTAGATGAAGCCTCAAGAGCATCTGGTGATTTCAGTAAAGCTAAGGTAGGAATAGAAAGGTATTTTCCTCTATATTTTCATCAGACTCCGAAACTCATCTAACCACGTGAGAGCAAGTATGCCTTTTTGTGATTTGAGAATAGCAGAAGATTTGATCAACACAGTTGTGAATTTTGTATGTGTTATAATTGCTTGCCCTAGAAAATTAAGGGGGGCAATTTCAGAGGAATCGTTGGAAATCATTCTGAACTGGGACTGTTTGTTTTATTTTAAATTAAGATTGATGTTAAAAAAAATCAACTGTCCTAATCAAAATCTCTTTTTTACATATTGAATTAATAATATTTGAAAACATGTACAGTTTAGAAGCTAAACCATGTCTCATAAAACCTGCTTAGCCTGATTATAATTACTAGCTCTAATTTTCCGTTTAGAAAGCATACAGTTTAGAATAGTGCATTTGCTTTTTTATCAAGGAAGAAAGCTTGTTAATGCTTTTATTTGCACCTAGGTAAATTTCTTAAACTGTTTCAGGTATTTATTCAGCCGCAGAATGTTTTCATAAGTTTTTCTATGTATTTTTTTCAGTCATTTTCTGGTGGGGGATATAGATTGGGTGACTCATCACGAAAGCGCTCTGAATACATATATGGAGAAAACCAAGATGTAAGTAAAATGCCGAATAGCAGGAAACAGTGTTTCCAACAGCAGTCTCCTTAACAATGCTTACAACTTGAAATACCGGTATTACTGTAACTAAGGCAATAAGAAAAACTAATATCTAAATGTATTAGGTATGTGTTAAGTAGAAGCTGTTAAAGTGAAAGTGTCCACAGAGACGAAACGTTCATTGAATACGCAACATTTGCATTAGAGAATTGCTGGCCGAAAGGGTTGGATGACTAGATCCAATTTTGTCACATGCAAATTTGTGTTGCTGGGAGCATTTTGATCTTGTGATCTGAGCTGTGAAGCAGAGGTTAGAATTAAAAGATTTTTGATGGGGAGAGGAGACATAACAGCTATTAAGGCCTGCAGGCATTCCCAGGATTGATTTGGATCAATTAAGTATTTCTCAGCAATTAGTAATTTGCAATTGTCTAATTCTTTCTTATCCTATATCAATAACCTGCATATATTTCCTAACACATGAAGATACCTATCAACTGGATATCTTTACTGTGCTTAGTATATATGATCACATTTGAAAAAACAATCTCCAAACAATGTATTGCAACTTACCATTTTAGAAAAGCAAATCACTTGAGTATTAAATAATGCCACAATTCTATTTTGCATCAATTACCTTTTTATTATTGTTAGGGTTGTACAGATAATTGAACTAGGGTTACCTGTAGCAAAAGCCAGAGAAACGGAGGGATACTCGCCCAGATTTTTTTTTTCCCCCCCCCGTATCTTTCTCATCTTAAACAGGTTAGGGCTTGAACCAAAGACTTTCTTCCCCTAAATGTATCCTAACTGCCACAGATGTTTTGGAACACTATTTCACATTTATTTGAACACAGCAATTATTCTGAAACCACATGTCTCATATCCTATCTAGTGAGCAGCTAAATGTAGGTTTGAGCATAGTGGCAGTTCTGTGAATGTCACCTTTTGCTTACTTGAGGTAAGTACTCTTGAAAAAAAAATTCGTCAAAAATAACTGTCTTAGCGCCTCTGAAGCATTTTGTTAGTAGTTGATGGAAACTAGTTTTCATTAGACACAATCCAAATTAAAAACTGACTTCAGTATTGAAGCTAACATAAGGTGTACTTTTTCTGAGAATGGAACATAACATAAGGAATCCTGCTCCTACCTAATAATAACGCTTTATTTGCTGTGTCTTAGTTGTTTTTATATCAGCTGTGTACAGTTTATGCCCGAGTTTTTCTCAGCAAATTATTTTCAGTGTAGCATGGAGTGCAGGGTCTCCTTTTATTGTGCTTTGTAATTAGAGGAAAAGGCTCTAATTTGAGACAGGCTACCAACCCACAGCTGTGGAAGTGCTGATTTCACTACTTGAGAAACAACTGCAAAGACAAGGAACAATTTTGCTTTCTTTTGCATGCTTTCGTATTTGTGACTGACTGGAATTTACTAAGCCGTTCTGTTGCACAAGGTTAAATGAGTGGCTGACACTCCCACTCCTCAAGCTGAATTTGCTCAGAAAATCTTATGTATATTGCATCTATCTCTAGATAGAAGATATTTGTGACTTTATGTAGGAAATGGGTCTATTGCTATTTCTATAGAAGCAGTTTCAAGGGTAAAACTACACTGAATGAAACAACATTATTGATATTAGCTGATGTCCTGCAGAGTCTGGTTCTATTCACCACTTCTTCTTTGTGCTGTATATAGTTTACATTGGTTCAGTAATCCTCTCTGTGCAAGTTACTTTAAAAATCTATTTGTCCATTTTTTTCACTGTACTTAACACAATTTCTGAAATAGTCCACTCTGACTCAGGTTTGGCTGTAGGATAAATTAGCTCATTTTTGTTCCAAGTTCTTCCTCGTTTTCTTCCTTACTCCATTGCAAATGCATCCTAGCTGATAATATAAAGGTAGTGGAGACGTCAAAAATTTTTATTTGCCAGCTTTTCAATATGAGCGTGATTTTTAGCTTTGCTCTCCCAGTGCCTTAGATACAATTTTAAATTCTGTCACTCGTTCATAATAAAGAAATAGAAGTTTTCCCTTATTTACTGTTATTCCTATAATTCTTCCAGCGGAAGTGATGAGTCAGGTCAAGGAGCAGGTCTAGGTTAAAAAGTAACCTTTTCTGTTTCTCCCTTACTTTCTGCCAGATTGACTTATTTTTTTTATTTTTATTTTTGGATCAGATCACTGTGTGATTCCAAGTGCTTGCCCTACTGTAAGGGAAAATTAGGAAATTAGGTGAGAAAGAGCAAGACCATTTCTTTCAGCAGAAGTATCAGTTCATACTGATTAAATTCATGGAAGATAGCATTAGCCTCATGCTTTGGGTGTGTTTTTTTTCCTTCTTCCTGTTCCTGACTGTAATCATCTTTGTTTTCTCACTTTTCACCTCACTTTCCCCTTTGATCTTTCAAATTTAACATTATTAAAATTATCTTTATAGCAACTATTATGTTGTTGTACTTATTCCTCATAACTTTCTCAAAGTTTCAATTTCAACGTCTCAATTTCAAGTTAAATGTCTCTACAGCCTCAAATTCACATCTTTACATAGTTTTGCTCTTTCTCCCTTTTTCTGAATATTCTTTCAGCGCTGCAGTGACTGTTGCTCACTGCTCCTTCTTTTTCTCTCTTTTTAATAAGCTTTTTTTTTTTTGTGGGAATAATCTCTTTTTTTTGTCATGAATTATTTTGAAATTTTTAGCAAGCATTCAGTTATTTTCCTCTAGGTGTTGTTCTACATTCTCTCTTAGTTATGGTAATATTTTAATCATCTTAGGTTAGGAATTGTTTCTTGCTATATCTTGCAAATTGGTTAGCCTCAAACTGGAGGGCATGGATGTATTCCAGAAATGGTGTAGCAGCAGCTCAGAAGCCTCTGGAGAATCATCCAGCATTTCTTTTCTCTCACTTAAAAGACAGGAAATGAGGGAGAAAAAAGAACCAAGTTCTTTACTCTGTCTAGAATAAATATTAAGCTATTCTACAAATGAGAACAAAAATGGGTAAGGCTAAAAGATGTGGTTCGGGCTGATGTGTGCTGTCCTGGCACACCAAGAGCTACCATATTCTGCAGTTCCTCTGAGCAACGGTCAGCTATACTGAGCCAGAAGTGCTTTACGGTAAGGTTACTATAACTGCGGACATGGCTAGTTTACTGAGGGAAAGTCAGTTTTACTAGTTAGGGAAACCTAGTTGTGCAACTTGGCTCCAAGGTATGAACTGCAGGGAAGAGAAGTGCTGGGAGCTGCAGGCTCTGAGGACAGCAGTGTCTCCAGTGAAAGGCTCTGGCTGGAGGCAACAGGCAAGACGAGAAGGGAGTGAAGGAAGCTGGTCTCCAGGATTCTCAGGATTTGAACTGAATGGAGCTAGTGTCAACTTTATTGGAGCTCAGCATGTAAGGATTTGAAGAAAAAATATTTTTTACTGCAACTGGTATATCACCAGTAATTTGTAAATTTATGGATTTATTTTGTGATTTATCAGCAACAGAGGGTTATTGTTTTTAAAAGTGGTTGTAACACTGTGAAGCAAAAAGTGCAATCACCATATATTTATTGTCTATCATGTCAAGGATAGTAAGAGGTTAAAAAGGGTAAAAATGGTCTTGGTTTGGGGTAGCAGGCTGTAACTATGATTTACTTTTTTGAGGATTCTAACAATGATAGTCTAAAGCACACTGTGGAGTTCTGTTCTTTTTTGTCATCTGCGTTCTTGTTTGTGGTCTGCTACCAAATCTGTTAAGTGTGGGTTAAGTGTTTTATAATAATAATCTATATGAAGTTGAAATACCTTACTGATGTGTGTGTGTGTTTTTGATAGGTTCAAATTTTGCTGAAACTGTGGAGGAATGGCTTCAGTTTAGATGATGGAGAGTTGAGATCCTATTCAGATCCAACAAATGCTCAGTTTCTTGAATCCGTTAAAAGGGGGTAAGTTAAACGGTGATTTTTTTGAGGTATGTCTTTCAACTGAAGTGAAAAAAAATGCTTTCTCCCCAAGGTAAAAATTATAACAACAACAAAAAAAAAACTACCAGTTTTTTTCCCCTATAAATTGTTCTTGAGTTTTACTTTTTTTTCCTTCTTCCCTGCCTGAACTGCAAGAATGCATTCACTTGTCATCAGATTCATGAGGTATTTTTAAATTTGGAACATTGTGGTTCATTCTGGTTGTTTTAACTCCGAGTATTACTTTTAAAGGATGGCTGCTAGTTTTACATATTTGGTCAGCACATAAGGATTCAGCTGTCAGCTCAGTGGTTTCATTTGCCTTTTAGTTTTTCATTTCGTCTGTTGTTTTAGGATGAAATTAATTCATAAAGGAACTGGATGTATATGGCTTTTAATGTGAACTTAGTATCAACTTTTACTGTATCCTGCAAGGTTTTTATGTAACTTTGTTTTGTAATTCAGAATATAATTGGGAAACTTCTTATTTCTGTAATTAAGAGAAATTCCTGTGGAACTTCAGCGACTGGTTCATGGTGGCCAGGTTAATTTGGATATGGAAGACCACCAAGAACAAGAATATGTGAAGCCTAGACTGCGATTCAAAGCTTTCAGTGGAGAAGGGCAAAAACTTGGAAGGTAAAAAGTACCTGGTTTTCTTTTCTGTTACACCTCTATGCTGTTTCAAAAGCTGGGTTTAATCAATTAAGAAACTTCTGGAGAAGCTAATCAGAGAGATGACAAAATCAATATAAAATTCTTCTGCGCTGCAAATATTTCAGCCTGATTTGAAAGAATCACCAGTAATCAGGGAAGTTCATATATAATATTAACAAAAGTTGAGTTAATTAGTTAATTTATTGTGTAACTGAAGTGAATTTGTTTCATCTCCTGGACCTGCTCATAGACTAGATGTCTCCTTATCCTTAGGAAGGCAGGCAAGGGACATGAGATTTCTCTCCTGGTTCTTGCCTATCACTTCTTAACTTCATGAAATTATAGGCTTCATAGCGCCTTTCTCCAGCTGGCTTGATATTAGCTGTTGAATTGTAAGCACTTAACTTCTAGGTTTCTGTTCATGATTGTGTCTGCTCGTGTTTGTTTGACCAAAAAGTATTACTGGTATGCTCTTGCAAGTAATTTAATTCAACCTACTTGATCTTTTTAAAAATGAGACAAGAAGAATAACCTGTGATCAGTAATCTGAAAAGGTAGTAGGCTCTGGTAGGGATAACATGATGAGCAGTTGTATATAATAACTTCTTTAACTGGGCACTTAGTCGGGTTATTAACAAATAGGTGGGGAAGATGGGAGCTTCTTTATAGAAGAAAAAGTGCACACCTGCTGTGTGGCTTTTTTGTTCTGGTGGCTTGTGAGTCTTAACTATACAAGGAATGAAAGAAGAAGCCAAAAGGTTATTTCCAGTCAAGCCTCTTTAATTTTTACATTAAATGTTTAAAAAAAAAAAAAAAAGTTCCAACCTTGCTTGTAGTGTCAATTACCCAGTTATGCTCTAAAAAGGTGAGGGATGCCCAGACTCACAAAACAGTGTTCATGAAAGCAGCTGCTAAAGCAGTTTGGGTCAATTTAGTGCAGTATAATAGCACATCCATGTTTTTAAAATGTCTATAAGGTACAGCATATAAAGTTTAGTACCAGAGACTGTCATTTCATGCTCTAGAAGCGTAAACAAAGACGTTGTGTTTGTACCTAACTACCTGCCATTAAAATCATGCAAATGTAATGGTCTGCCCAGCTGTAAGAAAATATATTTGCATATAAAAATTTGAAGTCATAAACAAGAAACTACAAAAACATTCTTTCTGTCTCTGTATTTAAAAAGGTGTGCACAGATAACTTGGACAGCATTTTTATTGCTCATTGGTATTAACTATAGCTGTTAGTCATTCCAATGGAAAAGATGGCTAGAACATTTTTTTCAGTTCTGTTAATAGGTCTATTAGTGACTCTTTTTTTTTCCTCCCCTCGATTCTCTAGCCTTACACCTGAAATAGTCAGCACACCTTCTTCCCCAGAAGAGGAGGAGAAATCCATTCTTAATGCACCTGTTCTGATTGATGATTCCAAACCAGCAACTAAAATTCAAATTAGATTAGCAGATGGAAGCCGATTAATACAAAGATTTAACCATACACACAGGTAAATTGATGCTACATCAATGCAGGTAATCATAGCTTATTTTGATAAGTTTGTGTTTTGTCATAAATATCAGCAATCCATCGAAAGGGGGAAAAAATCTAACTCCGAAGTGCTATAGCTCTGGATCATTGTCACAAGAGATGCACTGATGCAGAATTCTGCTTTCAAAGTCAATGTAATTGGAAACACAAGGTATTTGATAACTGCAAAGTTACACTTCCCTGACCAATTTTGTGTCCTGTGATTTGTAAAGAGACAGGACCAACCATAATGAGTGTCTGTTTAGGTGTGAGCTCCCCTTGCTGTTTTCAGGGCAGCCCAAATCTGGGCACCCTTGCTGTATTGTCATCCCTAACTATATATAATCCTGGGTCCTTCTTGGGAGGATCCTGTGGCTGAGTTGGGTGATGCTGTGAAGACACTTTGTTGCAAGGCATCATGGAGTATAGTTTGAACTTGAAGTATAGTCCATACTACAGGCAAAGAAGTGCTTTGGTCTGTACTCAGAGTTCCAGCTTTCTCATTATATTTGAGAGCCTATGACAAACATGGCATGGGTTGTAAGTGTGGGTTGTAGCCCATGCTGATATAGGCATAGTGTACTCATTTGCAATTCTGTCATTCTGGTGTACAGGCTAGAGATAATACGGAGAACCAACCTTTGTTTTGTTTTGGATGGTCTCCCCCTAGGAATGGGTGTGAACTTGATGGATTTTTAGATCTGCTAGCGGTCCATTGATTGGAGCTTGCCATCAGTTTTATCAGCATTGTTGGGACATTGCCACAAATGGTGTTGGCCAACCCATTTTGTTTGCCTAAGAGGTTGTGTTCATGCAAGGTTCTGCTTTGCACTTGCTGCTCTGTGTGACTGAGAGAACTTTGGGCAGAGGCTTGCACAATAGTTCCACCCACGCTTCATAGCAGGCAAGGTTCAAGCCAGCCCCAGTCCTAAATCTTCGCTATCGTTTTAGAAGACAGCTGACACTGAGTTTGATTCCTGCATCGAAGGTGAGCTTACCATGGACCGAGTCCCATGTTAGCTCTGTTACATGGCTTTGAGAGTTGAATTGGTTTTTTATTGGCTCAGAATAAGGGTAGTGCCAAAGTGCAGCAGTCCTTAGCTGAAAGCATATGCGGATCGGAATGAGGCGGTTTTAGCTGAGATGGCAATAGTAAGGAAGACATTGCAGTAAATGTCCTTATTTTAGCAGGCCTGATAATACAGACTTTTCCATCACATCACCTGTTGGAGAAGTGACTTCCCAGCAGTTATACTGTTTAGCTAAGTATCTATAGCCGTGGTGCGTTTTTCCTCCATTAAAGAGTAGAGGTGATAAACTTCCCAGTAACATCCATAGCCAAGGGTGTGTTGACAGAAGTTTACTTAATCAACGTTACCTTTCTCTTGGATGTGTGTTGTTTTTATTATTCTTGCATATGTATGATCAAAATCAGCTACTAAAGTGCATTGCCTATATTGTAAGCCTTGAAGACTGATAGAAAGTTGGTCTGCGCTTACTTGATTAAAATAAGTCTGCCTACTTGCTGGTTACAATAAAACAGAGTTATTCTCGGGTTACTATTTCTGGTGAGAAACCTCAAGTTTCGTGTGTGTTTTTTTTTTTGTCTATACAATCCTATATGGTTTTCATCTTTGTCTTATAAATTACTTTTATTTTATACTGTTGCTGTGGTTGACTTATGAGCAACTATGTTAACTATTCCACTACTAAGTGAAAGTAGGGGGGAACCTTGTGTTGTTGAAGGACATTATTATTCCCCTCTACTTTCTCATCACTGTCAACATATATTGTGAGATTCTTTCTTCTATTAATATTTTGGCCTCTTTAGTGTATACTCATTAGTAGGGAATTTTTTTGACAGCTAGTATTTAAATTATTTGACTTTCTGTATGTTTAGTATCAATTTCCAAGGGAAAATAAAAAGCTTACCAAATACATATCTGTGCTGCTTTTACTTCTATTATTTGAGAAAACAAGCCACAAATTCAGTTTTATTTTTTAGTTTTTGTACGCAAGAAGCAAAAAACTCTAAGCTACTACCGTTAGTCATATGGATCAAAATGGAAGAGTAAAACCAATAGGACATTTAAAATGGTTTAGTTTCTTAGAAGATTCTGTGTTCTCTGGTCTTAATGTTTAGAGATTTTATGCCAAAATTAAATCATACACAGTTTTCATGTCCGTATCCTTTCCACAGGATTAAGGATATTCGAGATTTCATTATCCAGTCCCGTCCAGCATTTGCAACAGCTGATTTCGTTCTTGTGACTACCTTTCCGAATAAAGAGCTAACAGATGAAAACCTGACACTACAAGAAGCAGATATACTTAACACTGTGATTCTTCAACAATTAAAGTAATCTTACAGCTCAATAGCTGTAAGACACAATATAGGGAGTGTGCTGTGTTGTCATACAGGGGTGCTTTGAAAAGATGAAAAAAGGAAAGATCAGTGTCTCTCTTCCCCCTCCCCTCTTCCACAGATCGGATTTTGGGGTTTAATGTCTTCCAGCTATAGCATACCTAATTTTATTTTATTTTAATTTCTCAACTCATTCAATTTTTTTCAATGTTCAAATTAGATTTCCCTATGTTAGCAAATTTCAAATTGTATCTTTTACTAAATGTGAATGAAAGATCACTTTCTTATTCTTCAATTATTTTGGGCGGGGGAGAGGGGAACGTTTTTCTGAAGGGAACAGTATCTTTCACTCAACTTACAAGACTTGCACTGTAGAAATGTTTTATGCTGCATTGACAAAACAGCCATTTGAAAACTTAGCCAGTAGGTTATGTTTACCTTCCAAATTGTATTAATGTTAAGGTATTCCATTTTGTAGGTTGAAAGATAATTAATGCCCTAAATATAACTTTTGTATATTCTATTTTAGTGTTTCATTGGTGCAGTATAATTATTTATATTCTAGATTTGATGTAGACTTCCCTATATCGCCGATATGAATGAATCGGTATCAAGATATGCAAAGCGCAGCTGTTGCAGACTATATCATAGGTTGTTCTCATTTGTATTCTAGTTGTTCTACTTGTGGTGAAATTAAGGATGATTTTTTTTTTTTTCTTTTCCGCGTTAGAGAAGTGGGAGAGAGAGACCATTGACATCTGGAGAAATGCTCTGATTCAGATTTCATGAGAGTTGGCCTATGGTCTCCTTGTTTGAAATTGAATGTGCAGTCGAGCCTTGTACAGCTACATGATTCTTCACGTGACTAATTACTGCAGTTACCTAAAACAAAAAACATTTATGTGCACAAACACAGAACTTGTTTATGCATTCACTTACATGCGCAAATGTAGATATGTTAATTGGTCAGGTATTTTTGACCTGAATGCCAGGTCTTTATATTTGGAATTCTGGCCAAAGGCATTTTGTAGTATTCAGTGGGGATTTGGTTGTGCAACTTTCATTATACTCATTTGGAAGCTGTGTGATTAAACCCCATGTTTAATCTTTGAAATTATATATTTTTTCAAATAACTTGGCCCTACCCTGTGGTATGCAGGTAGGAATCTTGCGTCATGGAAAACTGGCTACTATGCTTTAATAGTATGCAGATTTCTAATATTTGTAGCTTTATATCAGATGAGTGGACCACACTCTGAGGGAGAGTTAATGGGCTGTATTCCTTGTTCCAGTACATATGTTGAAAATACTGTTTTCACTGATCTTTTTTTTGAAAATATCAGCATTTATTTATCTATACTTAGCTTATCATTGGTCAATATACTTGATTAATGTTATATTTTTACCTCAAAGTACATATTTATGAGTAAATTTTAAATGTATAATTGTATTTGAAGTCGTATGTTTTGTAATCTGAATATCTGCATGATTTAAATCACTACTTTCATGTGCTAAAGCAATTAAACTTTTAAGCTTAAAAGACCATAGGTGACACTTCATTCTTCCTAATTTATGTTGTGATGAAGCAGTAGTTGTGTTGCATGCCAAGTACTTAAGCCTAAAGGGAAAGGAATGGGCATTTCATATGCATATATTTATATGTTGCCGCTTCTCTATACAAATGCAGAGGCCAGAGTCAGATTACTTGTACGATTAGCATATATTAGCAACTATATCATGCTGCTCTCATTCCTGGTGAAAATCGATCCAATATTAAATGAACCAAGGAAGAGCATGCAAGTACTTAGAGGTGCTATTACTAGCTTTTCTTCTTGCCCTAAGCTAAGGCTCCAGTGATCTTTAAATTGCATTATTCTGCAGGGAGAGTAGACTGGGATGCTCGCTCCCCTTGCTCGTGCGATTTAAGCCTGACAAACTTCAGAACAGACATACAGTGTTCTACAGGCAGGTGAGAGAGCGAGCAGCAAGAATCTGAATAGTGAACACTGAATTTGTGACATGCTGAAAGCAGTAAACTTTTGTAGTTCCTATCGGGTGGGCACAGTTGGAATGTGTTCCTGAAGAAATTAAAACTAAGACTGATACCATTCAGTTGATTACCAAGAGTAGACAGCAACCGTGATGAAAACTTGGTAAACTGTAGCTATCAGATCAACTGCACCTCTGGAGAGTCAAATGTTAAGTTACAAATCTGGAACCACCAACTACAGAAAACACTAGCAGCCTGGAAAGTAGCGACCTGAAAGGGAGTTGGACAACGAAATAGGAAGACAGTGCAGCGGAACTATTTACACCCCTTACAGAGATTTACAGAGTTTGACTTTATGGTTGGGAGATGATTTTAACGTCTGTACCTATCACTTGTGAGTTATATGTGCTGGTCCTGGTTCTTAATGTTAGAAATTGTACAAAAACAAAAAATCATTAAAAATTATTTAAAGGTTGAAGAAAATACGTTGAAAGAGCTCGGTACAGGTAGTTTATCAGGAAGAAAATCATGGCAGAGGTGACTTGACTTGAGCAGTTATCTTCACAAGGTGGGGGGGGAAGTATTGCAGGACTCTTAAAAGAGAAAAGCATAACAAGAATTGAAAGCTTGTTCAAATACTTTCAAAGCAAAAATAAGACTTTTTCCGTAACTATTGGAAAGAACGAACAATGAAAATGAACTTCACTGCTTTCATTTAATTTTCATTGTTACACTTGTTTTCTGTAAGATGTCTTAAACACAGTTTGTTGCAGTTTCGCTACTTGGGCAACAAGGTGGAATGAAAGGGCGTAATATTTAGACAGCAATTTTCCTTGCCTTTGCCTAGCCGTACTTGCAGTTAACAGATTCTTATGTTTGGTGCAGAAGCAGTTACGAAATGATATCCCTAAGTTCATCAAAATTGCTGAATTTCTTCATGAGGAATAAAATTTCATTTTCATGCCTAAAGACTGGAAATGTTAAATGCATCTTCAGTGTTTTCATTACACCCATTCCAAGTCTGTTGAACTTAGATGTTTAACAGAACTCAGGTTTAAAGAATAGAAGTCACCTTCCTCTACTTCTCACAAACAGCTCTGCTCCTTAATTAATTGTTTTGATTTGTCTCTAATTAGAGAGCTCTGTAGCAGCTCATCTGCATGTTACAGGGAATGAAAAAATAATAATTTTAAGTTATTCATGTAAAATTTAAAAGTGGGGATGATTCTTGTCTGTCTGTTAGTAGCTATCTGTTCTTGAGATAAATATTTTTGATTAATAAACTGCATATTTGGGCCCTTTTTTTGGAGGAAAGAGAAGACTTATTCCAAAGTGGATTAAGGTAAACTGAACAAGACTGTCTTAATTGTGGAATTAAACTTTCCTTTAGGGAATTATTCGGGAAGAGCTACTACTTTAAGCTGGATTGAGGTGAATTTGTAAATGTAATTTGTCTGTGTAGGTGAGCTCTTAAACTATTTAAATATTAATGACTTAGTACTCCCAAAGGGAAACATCCAGGAACCATTGTGCTATATCATGCATTTTGTTGAAGTTTTAAATAAAATGGATTACTTTTGCAGGACTATAAAAATTGTATTTAGCTTGTAGGTTTTTTAGTGTCTTACTAGCTGCTGCTATTAACAATTGTTTTGATTATCTTTTTTTCTTTGAGAAAAAAATGGAATTGCTATTGTTTGCTAAATCTAGCCTAGAAGTTACCAAATAACTTCACTTTGAGGACAAATTAAATTTTATCACCATTTCAAGTTAATAGCCGACTAGTGGTTTTTGGACCAATGGAAGTACTAGAACATTAGGGTCTGCATTACACAAACTCTTCGCAATTGTTCCATTTCAGTAAACATTATTTATTTATCTTACAAATTTTCCTAATTAAGTTAAATTAAATCATTATTAATCGGGTTTTCACAATGTATATGTCCTTAGTCTTTTGTGCTGATTTAGCTAATCCATTCTAAACTGGATTTTACAAATAAAAATATCTGTTGCCTGAATGTAGAAACACAAGTGCTAGTTCTTTGGGAAAGCTTTTCAGCTAGTAGAAAATATCTTAGTCAAGGTATTTATTTTTCCCTTCTCATCTCTTAACAAGGTGATCCTTGTTAAAAGAAGATCAGATTTTCAATTGAGAAGACTTTCGCTCTGAATGCAGAATTGTTCTGGTATTTTCTTTTGTTCATAAGTGAGTACCTTGATACTTAGACATGTTTAGAATACCAGTTTAGAATATTTCACTTTCATTTATCACTTTAATATTGGTTCTCTTGTTCTGAACACATCCTGTGTATGCTTTCTGCTTTTTTAACTATATAAATTATATTCCAGCATATTTTTATTCATGCAATTCTACTTCACATAAACAGTCCCCAAATCCTGTAGTCTAAAAGGAATCATTGAAATCAGAAGTCTGAGGTATCCCTCAACGAAGCATAATCTTGTGAAACTTTGCTCATAAGACACTCGCACACAAATGCAGAAACAGCTAATGCATTTTTGCATAGGTAGTCCAACTACTGAGATCTGAAGTAGTTGTGAATTCTGGATGTTAATGTGGTCATTGCGATGTTTTCCCTATGTTGATAGGTTAATGACTAGGATATGGCATCTATCATGATGTACATTTAGATTGGCACATTTGTTAGGGATGTGTTTTGAGATGTAGTGAGCAGAACAATACATAAATAACACATAAAGGTACTGTCACAACTTAAGGTGCAAAAGCATGTGTCCATGATCACTAAGGCTGGAATTAGAATAAAAATGGTCAATAGCTGGAAAGGACTCTTTCACCACCCTTGCTTACCCAGCCTGCCCTTTGTTCAACACGGATAGGAATTAGGGTTCTTGCACAGCAAGCAGAGGATGCTGAGTATAGATGTAAGACCAGTGTATGCAGATGGCTATATTAAAACATTTAGTGAAAAAATATTTCGCTCCTATTATTGTAGTCCAGTAATTCTTTTGGTTTTCTAAGGACTCAGTGCCTGAATACTGTTTTTCATGGAAAATACAGATCTTAGACCTAGTATAGAACTGCTTTGTAACCTTGGTCGTTACTCAAAATATGGTAAGCCAGGACTTGGTCTGTGTGAAAGGAGTGATAATGCTTCACTCAGGGAGCTCAGACAATGAGACCTTAAAAAGTCCTGCTCAGAGGGAAAACATTGAACCAGAGACCTATCTGAAATTTGATATTTGACCCAACATTGCGAAAGCTCAGATGGAACACTGAGTTGTATATGCATATTTAAGGTTCATCTTTATTTTTCATACACACACAAAAAAAAGAAAGCAGCTGTTCTTTATATCGATGGTTCACGAGGCATTCTAACTTGATTTTAATTGGTTTGTTTTGAAGATGCTTTTCCCTCTGTTCTTAGTAAAAATGGCAAAATAGAGTTTTTGCAACTTGCTTGCAAGGAGAGAGCTAACTCTTCCTGAGCTTGCTGTACTGCTCCCTGTTTTTAAGGTGGAGACTAACAAGCCACCTTGACAGAAACAAAATTATAACTCAGACCTGGAAACACTTGGAATTTCAGCTAGACTTACCTGATAGGTCTGGCACCAGTCTTGCCCCTATTATGAATAAGCCTGAGGCAGATTGCCTGAACGTTTCTTCTGACTGATGTTGCCCATTGTACGCTAACTACACCTGCCACATGAGCAATGTAGAATCTTAAATGAAAGGATGCTCTTTGAGATTTGTTTTTTTTTTTTTAATGTTGCTGTTAGTGCAGTCATTCTTACTTGTTGACTAAAGGGTTTAATTCCAAAGGGTTATTTCTGAAAACTCAGAAACTGGAAGCTAAGTTGTGCTGTCTGGGTCTCCATGATCAGTACTTCCCCCTCTCTAAAGCAATTGCTTAAATGAAGGGAGCTAAGTGAACAGACGGATGCATCAGTTTGACAACTGAACCTGAAGGCAATTTGGTCCTAGGAGGCAAAACAACTATTTTCAGCATGTGTAGGCAGGAGGATGCTTGTTTTGTGGGGATCTGTATGGGGACACATCCTAGCTGAAATAGTTGCTGGTCTGTTAAAGGTGGTTAGCTGAATCAAAGCTGATGCTCTAGACCACTGAGCTTCTGATCTTGCTTTTCTTCATTTCTGACTACCTACTAGTTGTTATCTAGCTGTTGCTGGTCATTCCTGTTGTGCTCCTGCAGTGTGTGAGCTCTTGCAGAAAACTGTAGTGGTTTGTGAGATTCTGTTACAAAAGGCAGACCTGAAGTCTTTCCTTTTCCTTCAAAATCTTTCTTCTTCCAACTTCTTCAGCGCAATGAAATTGTCTTTTCCAGGGATCTCCATGCTGATGTATTGATGCATACAATCTGTAGCTTCAGTGTAGAGAAAATACATGGGGAAGAAATGCTTGTTTTCTCTTTCGTTCTCTTTTGAAGTGGTAGTTTAGCTGAACCCATAAAAAGTCAGAACATGCCAACCTGGCAAGGTCTGTTTGCCTTAGTTGTCTGTATAGGCTTTATTACTCAATCTACTGCGCAAGCAGAGAAGGTAGAGGTGACCTGGAGTCAGGGATTTCCAAATAGCCTTCACTTGTGGCCAAGGCCACTGACAAACACGCATTTAGTTTTATGAATTTTCTTAGAATAGTAGCATACGCAAGCTCAGATAGTGCTGCTGAATAGTATTTGTACAAGTACAGTAATTAAGCATGTGCTAAATTTTGCCACAGGAGCCCAATTTTCCTTTTCAGTCTGCCTCTACATGGAGCAGTTTACAAACATTATTTAAGTTGATAATAGCAAAGCAGCAGGGCAGAATTTTCCTTTCTTCTTCTGTCATTCTGGCGAACTGATTGTAATCTGTATAAGGTTACATACTAGCAGAGGTTATATGCTGTTGTCTTACCCCAGCTATTGCAGCACTCTCTGAGCTTGCAGTCTACCATTCCCATGCTGAGTGACTGCCACTCTTTTTTTTTTTTTCATAAATGTCATGCTTCTTCCTTGTACTCTTGCCTACTTGAGCATCTGTCACTGAAACTGAGTCTTCTGACAACATATTTTCATTCCGTGCTTTCAGGGTTAAAGATCTGTTCTGTTGTGCTCCGTTCATTTTATTTGACCTTCTGCAGCTAATGCTTCTACTTGAAGTGTTAGACTGATAAGGAAGAGTGAGTAATGCTCTGCTTGGGTGACTGCTTAGGCTGATCATGTGGTAGTTTCGCTTCTGCCTAAAAATTACGTTCTTCAGGACAGAACACAGTAGATTGCATCTGAAGGATCCATCTTGTTTTCCATAGCTAAGCTAAATTTTCCCAAATCAAACAGCTTGAATATCTTGTGTGCTGCTTCTCTATTGCTACTACTCTGAATATATTTCTGTTTGGCTTTTTCTCAGCCCTTCTTTGGGCACAACAAAGTCCTTTAATCCATAGGGAGAGGTAAAAAATCTAGGATTTGCTTTAGAAGCATGAGCCTTTTCCCCTTACTCGGACTGAAATAAAATATTGTAAACGCAGGGGGTGTCTCCAGTGAAGTTGGCTGCAAATATCATAGTGGACAAAAGGGAATGGTAAGGACAAAGGCCCTTTGTTAGCAAGAGAGTGGAGGGCGGCTGATGCTCACTTAATAGTTGATTATTATGGATTTATGTTTTCCCATTGCTTTTCTGTCTTTTGAATGTTAGAACGATTAACAAAGTTGCAGAAGGCCTCCCTCTTTCCTCACCATTTTTGGCCAAGAGGACAATTATCACCTTTAACCTAAAGTCAGAGTGCTTTGCTAGTATTTCTCACTCTGAGTCTCACAGTTTCATGCCAGTGATGGGATTGTAGTTGTTGGAGCTGATCTGTCAACCAATGACAGGCCAAAAGCTGCAGATATCACAGTCTAGCTGTGAGAGAGCTTCGTCAGGGTTGTTGTTTCTGGCTTTTGCATTTCCTAAAGCAGAGCAGTTATTCTGGATTGCTGCAGAAGTCAGTAGGGGTTCATTCTCATTCTGTGAGCCAACAGAATTTTCTAAGTGAGGAAGTAAAGAAGAGCCAAAAAAGCTACAGCACCGAAAGGTGACTTTGCTTATGAGCTCTTCCTGAGCACTGTATCAGTCCCTTGAAGTTTCCTCTTCCCTAGTTGCAATACCCCAGAGAATGGGTTAAAATAGGGGTGATGAATCATAGAATAATTTTGGTTGAAAGGTACATCTTGAGTTCATTAGTACCCTAGAGTTCTTTCACCCTACTCTCCAGACTTAGCAAGGAGAAAATAAATCAGCTTGGATTTAAACCCATGGCAGTACAGATATCTGTGGAGCTGCAGGTGAGAAATATTCAGTAGGAAGTAATGAATGGCTTGGCTGAGGAAAAACAGGCAGATGTCCCCAAATCTCCCTCTTTTCATGTTAAGTGTGCATCACTTGGTGGGACCATTGACACCAGTGACAACTCTTACGAGAGGGACTGATGCATGTAATTTTACAAATAGTTTCAGTGTTGGCAACACTGAAAATGTTACACCTAATGATGGACCTGGGACCTGGGGACCTG